GTACAGTGCCTTCGGAAAGTATTCAGACCCCTTGACTTTTTCAAAATGTTGTTATGTTATAGCCTTATTCTAAAATGGATTAAATTAAAATTTCCTCAGCAATCTACACACAATACCTCATAATGACAAAGCAAAAACAGGTTTTTAGAAATTTTAGCAAATGTATTAAAAACAAAAAACAGAAATACCTTATTTAAATAAGTATTCAGACCCTTTGCTATGAGACAGGTGCATCCTGTTTCCATTGATCATCATTGAGATGTTTCTACAAATTGATTGGAGTCCAAATGTGGTACATTTAATTGATTGGACATGATTTGGAAAGGCACACGCCTGTCTATATAAGGTCCCACAGTTGACAGTGCATGTCAGTGCAAGAACCAAGCCATGAGGCCGAAGGAATTGTCCGTAGAGCTCCGAGACAGGATTGTGTTGAGGCAAAGATCTGGTGAAGGAAACCAAAACATTTCTGCAGCATTGAAGGTCCCCAAGAACACAGTGGCCTCCATCATTCTTAAATGGAAGAAGTTTGGAACCACCAAGACTCTTCCTAGAACTGGCCGACCGGCCAAACTGAGCAATCGGGGGAGAAGGGCATTGGTCAGGGAGGTGACCAAGAACCCGATGGTCACTCTGACAGAGCTCTAGAGTTCCTCTGTGGAGATGGGAGAACCTTCCAGAAGGACAACCATCTCTGCAGTACTCCACCAATTAGGCCTTTATGGTAGAGTGGCCAGACGGAAGCCACTCCTCAGAAAAAGGAGTTTACCAAAAGGCACCTAAAGACTCTCAGACCATGAGAAACAAGATTCTCTGGTCTGATGAAACCAAGATTGAACTCTTTGGCCTGAATGCCAAGCGTCACGTCTGGAGGAAAACTGGCACCATCCCTACGGTGAAGCATGGTGGTGGCAGCATCATGCGGCGGAGATGTTTTTCAGCGGCAGAGACTGGGAGACTAGTCAGGATCGAGGGAAAGATGAACGGGGCAAAGTACAGAGAGATCATTGATGAAAACCTGCTCCAGGACCTCAGACTGGGGCGTATGTTCACCTTCCAACAGGACAACGACCCTAAGCACACAGCCAAGGCAACGCAGGAGTGGCTTCGGGATAAGTCTCAATATCCTTGAGTGGCCCAGCCAGAGCCCGGACTTGAACCCAATTGAACATCTCTGGAGAGACCTGAAAATAGCTGTGCAGCAATGCTCCCCATCCAACCTGACAGAGCTTGAGAGGATCTGCAGAGAATAATGGGACAAACTCCCAAAATACAGGTGTGCCAAGCTTGTAGTGTCATTCCCAAGAAGACTCGAGGCTGTAATCACTGCCAAAGGTGCTTCAACAAAGTACTGAGTAAAGGGTCTGAATACTTATATAAATATCATATTTCAGTTATTAATTTTTTGTTGCTTCCTTACCCATACTGATCCATGTCTTTCCCATGCTTCTGGGGGGGGGGGGGGGGTCACATACATTACACATACAGGGACCACAACACATCCCTATTGTAGACACCCACACACACTCAAACAGCTTCCAATATAATAGTTTTCTAAAGCCGTAATGGACGACCTAGTTCCATGTCCATATCGTTTTACAGTTCTCTATTACCTAAATATATTGGACTGTAGGGAGAGGCAATAGATTTATCTGAGAGTAGCACTCTCTCTCTCTGGGGCTGTGTCCAGTGTTTTCTCCCCCCTACTGCTATCTCCTGAGTAAATACATGCCATAAATCTGCTCCTAGACCTGCTCTTGACCCCTCTGGGTCTCCAGGAGTTTAGCAAGCCTGAAGGCAATGGGGAGTATGGTGTGCTGTTCTGTGTCATGAGTAAAACTGTGTGAATTGGTACGTGAGCAAAACTGTGTGAATTGGTACGTGAGCAAAACTGTGTGAATTGGTACGTGAGTAAAACTGTGTGAATTGGTACGTAAAACTGTGTGAATTGGTACGTGAGTAAAACAGTGTGAATTGTGACGTGAGTAAAACTGTGTGAATTGGTACGTGAGTAAAACTGTGTGAATTGTGACGTGAGTAAAACGGTGTATTGTGACGTGAGTAAAACTGTTTATTGTGACGTGAGTAAAACGGTGTATTGTGACTTGAGTAAAACTTGGGCTACATTTGATATGACCTAAATGATCTGCAGTAGTTGTTGGGCCTACATATGTTGTGTCTACAGTTTGATTCAGTTTAACACTATGACCGACAGTATCATTGCATTACAAATCTATTACTGTACGTTTTATTGGATTTTACAAACTGGGTGGTTTAAGCCCTGAATGCTGATTGGCTGAAAGCCATGGTATATCAGACCGTATATCACAGGTATGACAAAACATTTATTTTTACAGCTTTAATTACATTGGTAACCAGTTTATAATAGCAATAAGGCACCTCAGGTGTTTGTGGTATATTGCCAATATTGCCAATATACCATGGCTAAGGGTTATATCCTGGCACGTAAGAACAGCCCTTAGCCGTGGTATATTTGCCATATACCACACCCCCTCGGGCCTTATTGCTTAAGTCTACTATGAGAGATCTTTTTCATGCACGCACAGTATTAGGCAAGCTGTTTTTCAACACACATACCACACTGACAGAAATGGACAACTTCGTATTACTCACCCAAAAGTTTCTCAATCTTATGCTGGAAGGTAGGTAGCCTAGCGGTTAAGAGTGTTTGGCCAGTAACCGAAAGGTTGCTGGTTCAAATCCCAAGCCGACTAGGTGAATAATCTGCCAATGTGCCCTTGAGCAAGGCACTTAATGCTAAGTAAATCACTCTCGATAAGAGCATCTGCTAAGTTACGTAAATGTACCAATCACTGCTCAAGCAAAAAGTTTACTTGTATTGAAAAAGCCTTTTGGTCATCTCTTGGTATAGTTAATATGCTCCACAGAAGTCTTTTTTTAAACTTTAATCACTTAACCGTCACAATTATTTTTTAACTGTCTGAATTATTCATAGATCTTTTTCTCAATCTATTACTTTTTATCTAGTAGTAAAAAACTCTCATGCCCTAAATGCTCTAAGACAACACTCAGTCCTTGCTTTTGATATACTACTATACTATATTATACTATATTATACTGTACTATACTATACTGTACTATACTATACTATACTATACTATACTGTACTGTACTGTACTGTACTATACTATACTATACTATACTATATTTTACTATACTATATTATACTGTACTGTACTATATTATACTGTACTATACTATACATTTACATGTTTACATTTTAGCATAATCTGCCGATTACTATAATGTACTATACCATACTATACTATGTTTTACTATACTATATTATACTGTACTATATTATACTATACTGTACTATACTGTACTGTACTGTACTATACTAAACCCAAAGGAGCAGTAGGCTACTGCAATGTTTCAATAAGCCTCATTCACTCATGAGCCCATGGTTAAGTCCATGCCTGTCTACCTCTTGCTTTACTATCTAAAACACGGCTAACCGACGTAGAGCTGTGTAAACAGAAAAGCTTTTAGAAGTCCTGCTGACTGTGACACTCGCCTCTCAAAACATCGACAGGGCCCAGACAGCCAGTGCAATAGGAGTGACTTGTAGATATCATGCCCCTGTCATTGCTTAGAGACAGCATGTTTGAGCCTATGGTTATTACCTTGGCAACCACTTGCACAAGAATATAGTCCCCTCCCCTCTGTATACCTGACAATGTTATTGTTGAATCCCAAAAGTTAATGCGGGCTGTTCTATAAACTATGAAGGATATGAATTAAATTACAATTTGTAGTGTCTGTTTAGGGTTGTGTGGCTATAGCAGTTTCCTAGGAGAGAATGGTTTAACTTTTCCAGAAGTCTGTCTTGTTCTAATAACATCTCGGATCTCAGGACAATTCTTCTGCAATGCAGCACTCTGGGAATGTTCCCGAGATGGATTGAAGAACGACAAGAGGTCTGGATTGCACATCACAGCTTTCAGAAGGATCTGACGTTCATCCAGCCCTACCACGGTAAGTCATGGAAACACACGCACGCACGCACGCACGCACGCACGCACGCACGCACGCACACACGCACACACGCACGCACGCACGCGTGCGCACGCACGCACACACACACACACACACACACACACACACACACACACACACACACACACACACACACACACACACACACACACACACACACACACACACACACACACACACACACACACACACACACACACACACACATTCTTACTTATACTGTGCTGCCTTTCTAAGTCCCATGGCCAGTGTTCTTCTTAAAGCCTTCAGACATGGAGGGCCCCACTGTTTCTTTACAATTCAACCAGAAATTAAAGCAAAGCTGGAAACTTTCCCCTCAAACCTTTCATCTCATCAGTCAAATGTTTTATCTTGGGTGTTAACTTTTGTCCAAACAGCGCCCTTCTCTCCACTCTGCTCCTTTCAATTAAACTCAAGAATGAGCAATGGAAAATTTGAACACCATTGTGCAGTGTTTCGTTTGCCTCGACTACACGACCACTTAAAAGATGGACCTTTCAGGAGTCCTGTGAAAACACTGTCAGATTTTTTTTTACTTAAGTGCAATATTGAATGATTTGACGATTTCGCTAATGCATCTCGAGTTGCCTGGCAACATACACATGATATAATAACAATGCATTTGCAACTGGAGAAATGTGCAGGGGGGTCATATGAATTATTTTCCATTTCACTTATTCGTCTGCATAATACCGTTAGTGTCAGGGCAAATATACAGTATAGACTAAACTAAAAAGGCTTGTAGTCCGAACTAAAAAGGCAAAAGTGAAATAATGTGTTGTTTGGACAGTGTGTCTCATTGGTGTAATGGAAAATATTGTATCTGATAGGTGCTGCTAGGTGGAAAAGCACGAGCCATGGATAACCTGTACACCTGCCTCAAGAGAGAGATAGCCTCCTTCCAGGACCATGTCCAACGCTGCAAACACTCCTTCAACATGGACGCTCTTCACTCAGTCTTGAGTGCCCTGAGCACGAAACAGCAGGATGAAATCAACACCTTGGAGCAGCTGCGGGTTCTACTGTCCAAGGTTCCAGAGGAGCCTGCAGTGGCAGTCGGTGGCTACAGCGGCTCGGACATAAAACGCTTCATCGCCTGGCTTCTCTCTTTCCTCGAACATCTCGCCGCCATCAAAGAGACCTTTGACGAGAAAGTGGTAGTCCCTCTCTGTGAGAACCTGTACGTAATTGACGAAGATGAGAGCACTGCCGCTTCTTCTGATAGGACTGTCCCTTTGACCTCTGACCCTCAAAGCCCGCCCCCTACGTCTGTGACCAAGGTGGCCAATGAACTCCTTGTTCTCCGACGCAGATGGGCTTTGATGTTTGTCCCTGGTCCAATCAAGGCAGAGAACTTCAGTCTACTGACCAATGCTGATGGGGCTGAGCTGTTCGCTGAGCGGTTCACTAAGCGGTTCGCCAAGGTCCAATGGCTTGTACCGGATATCCTCTATAAGAGCTCTAGGGCTGCCCAACTTGCCTATCAGTGGGTGGATCTGCACCAGCGTGGGCACAGGGGTAGAAGAGTAGGGGATGGTGGGTTGGAGGTTATCCACATTGCCCCAAAGAGGTCTACTGGCCAGAGACGGGAAGCGAGTGATGAACATATCCTGGTTGTGGTAGAAAGGAAACGGGCGGCCCAAGCCAGACTGATGGAGTCTAGGATGGAGCTCATGGCTTTGGCCGGGAAAGAGCATAGGGTGCTAGCTCTGGAGGTGAGGTTACAGAAGGCCACCTACAGGATCCAGGACCTCCAGGCCAAGCTCCGACAGGAGAGGCTGATGGTAGAAAGTGCAACCCAGCAGGAGGCCAGTGATGTGGGGGAAAAAAGGAAGGCAGTGGAGCTGGTCCTCAACCCGAGTCTAGAGCTGGAAAGGAGGCTGAGGATGGAAAGGTACCATCGGAGGATACTGCTGGGAGACATGATGATGGAGCTTGAGATTCGTCCAGTTCTCATACGCTACACTGATATGGTGAGTGGAGAAGTGAGACAGATTATTCACATTTCATCTAGCTGGTATTATATCCATGTAAGGATAGCATCAGAGTCATAACGAGTTGGCGTCAGACTCAGGCTGTCCTAATATGAACACTGTATGTTTAACCTTATGACATAAATGCTTATACAAAACTGCCTAGTGTAATTTCCTATTTCCATCAGCCTGGTTTAATCTTGAATAATCTGAGCTGGAATCTAAGCATGTGATATACTGTAGTTTCAACCTGAACCCCAAGTTGTCAGTGTTCTAATCTACTATGCTCCCTAACTTCTAGGTGAGGGATCGGTGCAGACAGCAGGAGGAGACTCTATGGGCAACAGAGGGCAGTATGGGCAGCAGGTTCCCTTCAAAGCCTGCTAGCCTCAGCCTCTCCAACCAGTGAATCCATCTCCTCTAGCCTGTTCTCCCTCACATAGACACCCAGCGAGAGACACTCATCCTGGGGTACAAGTCTAGGCTGCCTCCTGCTCAGACTCCCAGGGTGGAAGGAGTCCTTCATCCCTGGGCCTCCAGATGGACACCCAACCCAACAAATGGATTGTTGCCTGGGGGATGCCTCCTGATGAATCAAATGGATTGTTGCCTGTGGGATGCCTCCTGATGAATCAAATGGATTGTTGAACACACACACACACACACACACACACACACACACAGTCATGTATGACTGCAAATTGTGTTTATTACCAGTACCAACAAAATTAAGACTAAGACATTCTCTAGTAATATTTAACTACAGTAGTGACTGTCCTTAACCCAGTCTGTAACTATAGTAGTGACTGTCCTTAACCCAGTCTGTAACTATAGTAGTGACTGTCATTAACCCAGTCTGTAACTATAGTAGTGACTGTCCTTAACCCAGTCTGTAACTATAGTAGTGACTGTCCTTAACCCAGTCTGTAACTATAGTAGTGACTGTCCTTAACCCAGTCTGTAACTATAGTAGTGACTGTCATTAACCCAGTCTGTAACTATAGTAGTGACTGTCCTTAACCCAGTCTGTAACTATAGTAGTGACTGTCCTTAACCCAGTCTGTAACTACAGTAGTGACTGACCTTAACCCAGTCTGTAACTATAGTAGTGACTGTCCTTAACCCAGTCTGTAACTATAGTAGTGACTGTCCTTAACCCAGTCTGTAACTATAGTAGTGACTGTCCTTAACCCAGTCTGTAACTACAGTAGTGACTGTCCTTAACCCAGTCTGTAACTATAGTAGTGACTGTCCCTTACCCAGTCTGTAACTATAGTAGTGACTGACCTTAACCCAGTCTGTAACTACAGTAGTGACTGTCCTTAACCCAGTCTGTAACTATAGTAGTGACTGTCCTTAACCCAGTCTGTAACTACAGTAGTGACTGTCCTTGACCCAGTCTGTAACTACAGTAGTGACTGTCCTTAACCCAGTCTGTAACTATAGTAGTGACTGTCCTTAACCCAGTCTGTAACTATAGTAGTGACTGTCCTTAACCCAGTCTGTAACTATAGTAGTGACTGTCCTTAACCCAGTCTGTAACTATAGTAGTGACTGTCCTTAACCCAGTCTGTAACTATAGTAGTGACTGTCCTTAACCCAGTCTGTAACTATAGTAGTGACTGACCTTAACCCAGTCTGTAACTATAGTAGTGACTGTCATTAACCCAGTCTGTAACTATAGTAGTGACTGTCCTTAACCCAGTCTGTAACTATAGTAGTGACTGTCCTTAACCCAGTCTGTAACTATAGTAGTGACTGACCTTAACCCAGTCTGTAACTATAGTAGTGACTGTCATTAACCCAGTCTGTAACTATAGTAGTGACTGTCCTTAACCCAGTCTGTAACTATAGTAGTGACTGTCCTTAACCCAGTCTGTAACTATAGTAGTGACTGTCCTTAACCCAGTCTGTAACTATAGTAGTGACTGACCTTAACCCAGTCTGTAACTATAGTAGTGACTGTCATTAACCCAGTCTGTACACAAGCCAATACAAGAAAACAATGAATGTCCCAAGAGAGCACAAACACACTTTTGTGTCCTCATCATTAGAAAAACGAACAATGTAATTCATCACCATGACACGTTTTGCTATGTGTAGCTCAATGACTCATAGTACAGTACACAGATGGCATGTGGGTGACCAGAGAGACTGCTAGCGCCATCCTCCTAACTCAGTGACATTATTTATATCCCTGCGCAATAAGCTGCCTGTGTATTTTGGCATCAGCGGCAGGGTCGCCATAGTTCAAAGGCCCCGTAAAAGGTCACAGTTCAGTGACATCAAGCAAATTGGCTGTGTTGTTTGGGGAAAAGTTAATTATAGGGCTGAGAAATGTGTACACTGTGTCTGAGAGGGTTCACATGCTCCACATATTATCATTCATCTGACCTGATGGGTCAGGGGTCTTACATTCCATGCAGCGTGTGAATCAGCAACAAATAAATACTTGGTAAATTGTCTGGACTCTGGTGAGCTAATTGAGGGGGTTATTATTATTATTTTTTATCATCAGCTACAGCACTGTACTCAAACTTCAGGGAGAAAGTCATTCGGTCACTGGTTGGTTATCGGCAGTCGTTTATTACATAAAATGCATTTTTTTTTACCCATCTGTCATTGAACTTGCCTGTGCACATTGGGGCTTGTCATGCTTAATTAGAAGACTCAGGGGTGGAAAGGATGTGGTAATGACAAAATGACCGTGACATTGAGTACAGACAGACAGCCGTTGGATATCCCCAGGGGTTCCAGTGGCACTTTGAGTATATGAAGTTACCCCTAGTTTTGTGTGTTCCCCTTCTAATGGTTAGGGTAAGATATATGTATAAGGAAGGTATAAGCTCATTCTATACCTGTGCCTAAGGATAATTTCTGCACTGAGGTTATTACTGTAGAACAGTGCCGTTTAAGATGAGGGAGGACGATAATTATTTTAATGAGCATGGCCTTATTTCTATTTCAGCATATTGGATGACTGTCATTCATATTCAAATTCACCCAGTTCAATGTAACATTGATAGGTTTAGGCTACTACATGACACTCACATTTCCCCTATACCCATGATGAGGTTACTACAACCTAGCCTATGAATGAAAGTTTACAACGTAGATGCACATAGTGAACACAGTTCACTTTCATAGCAGCTTGTTGTATTCCTTCTCACATCTACGCGCTCTCCTCCTCTCACCTTTTCCCTTCGCTTGTGGACTTCAATGCACAACACATCAGCTGTCTGTGACAGGCAAAAAAAACTTTCCAAGCCAAACCTTCACATCATAACGCTAACCGCTACACACATTGTCACCATATTAGCTAAAGTAACGTCATAGTCAACATAGCTAATAAAACTAACGTGTTAGTAAACCCGCTACAATCATGAAGTACAGTATACTGTCAGTAAGCAGTTTAGCAGTTACACTGGCGGGCCCCGGTGGCAATAAATTAGTATTCCCTTGACTTGGAAGAGTTTCAGTGTTGGATAGTCATAGCCAGCTAGCTAACATAGCATCTTCCTCTGTTTGAGCCGGGCGTTTGAGTAGGCTAAACTAGCTAGCTGCATTAGCTAAGTAAGTGAAAGTGAAAAAAATAATATATATATATATATATATATATATATATATATATATATATATATATATATTATATATATATATATATATTGCTAGCTCTCTCTCTCTCTCACTTCTCCTTCATTTTTGAAGAAATTAATTTGTTCAAACTGCTCACCATATATCATGCACTGCAGTGCTATCTAGCTGTAGTTTATGCTTTCAGTACTAGATTAATTATCTGATCCTTTGATTGGGTGGACAACATGTCAGTTCATGCTGCAAGAGCTCTGATAGGTTGGAGGACGTCCTCCAGAAGTTGTCATAATTACTGTGTAAGTCTATGGAAGGGGGTGAGAACCATGAGCCTCCTAGGTTTTGTATTTAAGTCAATGTACCCAGAGGAGGATGGAAGCTAGCTGTCCTCCAGCTACACCATGGTGCTAACCTACAGAGTGCTGTTGAGGCTACTGTAGACCTTCATTGCAAAACAGTGTGTTTTAATCAATTATTTGGTGACGTGAATATATTTAGTATAGTTTTATCTAAAAAGGATAACTTTTTTAATGTTTCACTATTTTATTTTTTATGAAATTCACTGAGGAGGATGGTCCTCCCCTTCCTCCTCTGAGGAGCCTCCACTGCTGTAGATTCTCTTGGAGGTTTCTGCTATCACAGGAGGTTGTCACCTTAATTGGGGAGGAAGGGCTCGTGGTAATGGCTGGAGAGGCATCAGGGGAATGGTATCAAATACATCAAACACATTGTTTCCATGTATTTGATGCCATTCCATTTGCTCCATTCCAGCCACTACTATCAGCCGTCCTCCCCTCAGCAGCCTCCTGTGGTCCATGTGCATACTAAATATAACAACCCATTACACAATGCACATGTAGTGAATCTTAACTGTTCCTGTAAAGGGTGACCACAGCCAAGACAGTGTATCCATGGCAGACCTGGGTCAAATCATGGTTTCTTTTGAAAGACTTTAGTTGATTGAGCTTGCCTGGCACAATGGAACTAAATTATGGAATAGTCCCAAAAGTGTAAACCCCTGCCTAGATGCGCTCCAGGGAGACTCAGATGCAGGTATTTGAAAGAAAACAAATACTATTTGAACCCAGTTGCTGCTGGGTGTAGGGATGGACAGACATGGTGATGAGAGAATGGTCGGACAGACAGACATTACCTCACATGCTGGGCACAGTGGAGGCCTCCCAGGTTTGTCCCAAGTAGCGGCACACTGAGACCAGCTTTGACATGACAGGCTACGCTGTAGGCCGGAATTCCCAGTGCCCACTCCAGGGTTAGGCACAGGAAGTCTGGGAAAGTATGTCAACTGGAAAAGATACACTAGTGTTCTCCCTCTCACCTGATCGCCCAGTGAGGCATCCTGCAAAAATGATGTGGCTAGCCTGAGTCGTGATCGCAATTTAACCATAGAGTCAAACAGATGTAGGGTTTTAATTGGATCACACTTTTTTTGCTGAGAATTTTCCTGCGCTGCAGGAAATGCAGATAAGCTTTGTGATTTGCATGAATTCACTGAAAGCCCACACTAACACACAGTTATATTAACAGTATTGCACTTTTCATGTAGCCTACTTTTGTCCAGCTAATAGCTTAAACACCGTTCAAGCAACATTATGGACTAAACATTAAAATCCTGTTGATGCAGGATTATTTTGCAGCGACAATACTGGTCATTAAGATACTCAACTATAACAAATGGCGTAACCTCCCAAAGGATTCTTTGAGCCCTCAATGCTGATGTCTCATTGGCTCCCAGCTACAGAGTTGCCTTGCTTGTCATGTGAAAGTTTATGTTTTCATGGATAAATTACATTTCGTTTCATACCGTAGATGTTTGAGAGATCTATATAGCATATTGTGAATCCTTTTGGATAGTCATCAAGTCTAATTAATGGACTGTGTGTTAATACGTTGCTTTTTAATAAGTGGTATAAGGTTCTACATAAATAGAAATCTCTATCCAAACTAGCTTCTTAACTTTCTCCTCCTTCACTTCACAATTAAGTCCAGGTAGGCAACCTGCTGACCATATATATATATATATATATATATATATATATATATATATATATATATATATATATATATATATACACACACCCGTGCTATCTTTGGCCCCCTTGAGTCAACAACCATTGCTCTCCGCTGTGGTCAAAAGATACAGACACCCTGCATGGGTTTACAGAAGCCTGTTTGGTGGATAAGCACAACAACCGCTACTCGCTACCAAGAAATCAAATGGGACGTACTGGGGAGGGAGAGGCGTTTTGGTCCAAGGGGAGGGAGAGACGTTTTGGTCCAAGGGCACAGCTTTAATTAAGTGTCAATGGACATGCGAGAAATGGAGTGGTCATGTCAGAGACACTCGGGCACACGCTGTAATATTCCCCTGGAAAATGATCTTGATCATAATGGCTGAATCGGATGTATGTATGCTTAGGATACTTTTTCACTCGGGACAGCAGTGCAGCCTAAGATAAAATATAACATTTTCTTATTAGTAATAACATCAATAGACAGCACACTGCAGGCTCTTGCTATTATAGAAGCACATCATTATTCAAATATTGACATTGTACAATTTGTTCCTTCAATCATTTGTTATCCACTGCACGCTAAGGTTATGCAAGGGACAACTCACTACAACCTACATGTAGTTACCTGCCTTTTTGACATACACTATCAGAAACATGACAGTTGATAGGACCCTGCAGATTGCACCACTGGGTCTCTCTCCTGTTTGCTATGCTAACACAGTTGACAGTTGCCCTGTTGGACACAACGTTTACATCCTTATCTTTGCATGTTGCTCTTTAATAAACAGTACAGCTAGAGGCAGAATGGTGCTACATTTTGGCTGTGGTTTGCTGCTGCTTACGTTACTTGTTCTGCCGGGGCTATTGCTCGGGGACTTGGTATTCCATTGTCCGAGCTGCACTGCGGAGGGCCAAGCTGCATGTCCTAAGCTCGCCACCAACTGTACTGAGATAGTCAGGGAGCCCGCCTGCGGCTGCTGTCCGGTATGTGCCCGGTTAGAAGGCGAATTCTGTGGCGTCTACACACCGAGGTGTTCCACAGGGCTGCGTTGTTATCCCACTGCAGATTCAGAATTGCCCTTGGACCAGCTGGTTCGGGGGTTAGGGCGATGCTCACACAAAGTGGACCCGCTACCCAACCGCACTCAAGAGCACCAGGACACGAGTAGTAAGTAACTAGACTGTCACTAAGAGAAGGTTATCATTCATGTAGGTTAACAAGTATTCTGTATTATACATAGGGCCCTGTGTTTTGGTTAATCATGTCACATGACCTGGATTTTAACCTTTATTTTAAGCCTTTTCCAGAAATGAGAATTAGACAAAAGATTAAAGCATTTGTCTGAGGATGGTGCTGAACCATCTGATATAAAAACAAAAGGTGACAGTTTGATGAAAATGCTTTAAATAAAGGTTAAAATCCAGGTCATGTGACATGATTAACCAAAACATACGGTGCAAGTTATTTAATTGTCCACACAATGAAAGTGCATGGCATCTGCTGAATGTTATAAGCTGGTATCATACTGAATATATATTGTTTCTCTGTGTGTTTCTATTATAAATAGATCAGCAATATATCTATTGTCTTTTTTTATGACTTGTATTATTAATCAGCACGCAACAATTCCTTCATTAGGTGTAAATGGCACCTGGCAAAACATGTATTTTGTTTCTCCAAACAAAAATATCTGTTCAAATCGGTCACTATTGATTTCTGGGAATAAATGTTGACATCCGTGGTATGTTTGGACGACTAACTGGTAGATCCAAATGCTATTGATCTTTGTGGGAAAACGAGCTAATTTCTTTTTGTCAAACTGCTTTCTTTTATCTTTTTCCTTTTCTATTACGGGGTAGATCAGCTTTAATATTGCAGATAGATTGTGGCTTCCATCAATGTAATTGTCATTTCCATTCCGCCATAAAAAAAAAAAAATGGTTGAGTGGAGGATGGAACTGAAAACAGACAAAAGATTACTATTGACTATTGTCAACTATAATGTGTCCGTAAAATGTATATAGTATGTATAAGTATATATATATATATGTATATGTATAGTATGTATAAGCTGGAAGTAGAGGCCTAAGAGTTGTTGTCCATTAGTTTACTCCAATTAGGGGAGGGATGGTAGGTTTAGGGCAAAATAATAAAGGAAAATATATAAAGAAATATCTATCTCTGAACACCATCAAGTTTTGATTACTATTTGCCATATTTTTTTCAACTGTGCTGTGATGTTTCACAAAAGTTCTGAACCTTTCTATTATCATAGATTCTACAGATTGTAAATTAAAGATAAACATTTTTGCTAAAAGTATTATTATATTATTAATCGATTGACTATGACTTTTCAGATCACCCAGCAGTGCTATTTGCATGGTTAGCTCCAGGTAAATGTTGCAATTCTTCAGCCATTCCTGAACTTGCAACTAAACACAAGCTACATATGGACAGTACCAAAACAAAATGATCTAATGATTCTGTCTCTTCGCAGCAAAATCTGCAGAGCTGGGATCGTTGTATCCCCCATATATATATAACATTATATTGGTTGCAAGAATTTAATGTAATAATTTAAATTGAAAAGCTCTATGTTTTGAATCCAGCGTGGTTTTGTGTATCAGTTCATAAAACTATGTGCCATGGAATCGGTACATCGAAAATCTCTTCCCAACTATTTTGCAATCTATATGGCACAGCTGTCCATTTTTTGGTCCTTAAATGAATCTGGTCTACTTTTTTATTTATCACAATTTTCTGTAGCCAATTTTGGTCTTTAATGCGCGGTTGACAGACAAGTTCCTTCCTTTCTCCCCCTTCCACATGCCTCTTCCATTTTTGCGGTAATGCTGCAATTAGTTTGTTGTAATTTTGAGTAGAGCAGACATTTCCATATATTTTTGTTAGCTGCATGTGTGACATAACTCCACCAGTCCTATTTATGATATGATTTACAAAGATTATAACTTTTTTAAACATTTTTTCCAAGAATATAGTTTTTTTCTATCAATTAGTATATACATTTTGTCGAACTGCTAACCATGTTTGGCTGACCCCATTTCTCCGATTTTTTTAACGGAAAGTAAATGTTTAACAATTTCCCCCATTTTTTAGTTCCCAGAGCACAGGTCAAACATTAATACTGCTGGCAGTAACTCTGTGCCATCTCACATACAGCATACCCTTCACATCAGATTTCCATTTCATGAGCCAGTCAAGAGTACAGAGGTGCTATCAGGTGCCAAGTTGTCTTGTAATTGAGGGGAATTGTCCCAGATCTACCACCTTGGGGCTCTCTACATTCTCATTAATTAGGTAGCACGTCATACACCCACACAGAGTTTTCCGCCTTTCACCCTCCATCCATCCATCCATCCATCTCCCTCCATCGTGTGTTTGTTTGATAACAGTTGCTGTTATTGGCATGACATCACATCTTGGAGCAATGTGAAGAGCTGTATGAACTCATGCACAATGTGCTTTCGTCCCCCAATACATGCAAAACAACTTGAGAGTACATACAGCACACCCTTAACTCAATGGTTTCACTCATCACTTTAAAGGGATTATGTGCTTGGATGGATATTTGAACCGTTGTCCTCACCTGCCTGAGTGCACATTGCACAGGCTGGAGCTGCATTCAGTCTCTCAAAGACACTGGGTTCTGACACAAAAACATTCCCAGATTGGGAAGAGTTAATAGTGGCAATCAACTCCATGTTTCTATCTTCGCTCCATGACTGATGTCTGACTATAAGTCTGTTTAGGGTTGCAAAATTACCGCTAATATACTCAAGTTACCAGAAACGTCAGTACTTTTGGTAATTAACAGAAAATCTATGGCAATCTATCGTAACTTTGATCATTTATACTTGAATTACTTTTAAAACATGTATTCATATATAGTATTCATTTATGATATTTGTGTCCATGTTGTCCATGAGTTTCTAATAGAATGATGGTTGAAGATAAAATGGCCTAATTCATTAAAAAAGCATATCATCAACGGGATTATTATTTTTAAATAACTCTGCAACTCTTCCAAATATTGACTTTCTTCACAACTGCCACAAGTTTGACGCCAAACCATTGACAACAAATACAGTTGAAGTTGGAAGTTTACATACACCCTAGCCAAAGACCTCTAAGAACTCTGTTTTTCACAATTCCTGACATTTAATCCTAGTAAAAATTCTGTGTCTTAGGTCAGTTAGGATCAACACTTTATTTTAAGAATGTGAAATGTCAGAATAATAGTAGAGAGAATTATTTATTTCAGCTTTTATTTCTTTCATCACATTCCCAGTGGGTCAGAAGTTTACATACACTCAATTAGTATTTGGTAGGATCGCCTTTAAATTGTTTAACTTGGGTCAAATGTTTCAGGTAGCCTTCCACAAGCTTGCCACAATAAGTTGGGTGAATTTTGGCCCATTCCTCCTGACAGAGCTTTTGTAACTGAGTCAGGTTTTTAGGCCTCCTTGCTCGCACGCTCTTTTTCAGTTCTGCCCACACATTTTCTATAGGTTTGAGGTCAGGGCTTTGTGATGGCCACTCCAATACCTTGACTTTGTTGTCCTTAAGCCATTTTGCCACAACTTTGAAAGTATACTTAGGGTCATTGTCCATTTGGAAGACCCATTTGCGACCAAGCTTTAACTTCCTGACTGATGTCTTGAGATTTTGCTTCAATATATCCACATAATTTTCCTTCCTCATGATGCCATCTATTTTGTAAAGTGCACCAGTTCCTCCTGCAGCAAAGCACCCCCACAGCATGATGCTGCCACCCCCGTCCTTCACGGTTGGGGTGGTGTTCTTCGGCTTGCAAGCACCCTTTTTCCTCCAAACATAACGATGGTCATTATGGCCAAACAGTTCTGTTTTTGTTTCATCAGACCAGAGGACATTTCTCCAAAAAGTACGATCTTTGTCCCCATGTGCAGTTGCAAACCGTAGTATGGCTTTTTTATGGCGGTTTTGGAGCAGTGGCTTCTTCCTTGCTGAGTGGCCTTTCAGGTTATGTCGATATAGGACTCGTTTTACTGTGGATATAGATACTTTTTCCCACTGAAATTGTGATACAGTGAATTATAAGTGAAATAATCTGTCTGTAAACAATTGTTGGAAAAATTACTTGTGTCATGCACAAAGTAGATGTCCTAACCGACCTGCCAAAACTATAGTTTGTTAACAAGAAATTTGTGGAGTGGTTGAAAAATGAGTTTTAATGACTCCAACCTAAGTGTATGTAAACTTCCGACTTCAACTTTACATATTGGCATAGTAAAATATATACCTTTGTAAAAAAAAAAAAAATGTATAAAGGAAACACCAACGGTATTCACTAAGTTGATGGTTTATATTTACGATAATGTTTTACAGCTTTGCCATTCTATTTTTTATTTTAAAATTGTCTTCTTTAATTATTTCATATATATTTTACATGTAATAAAGCCACACAGAGGGACAGAATTTATTACAGACACCTGTGATAATCTGAAGTACCTAACAGGGCCACTAGATGTCTTGTGATAAATTACATAAAATCCTTTAAAGATACAACAATTCTGGTAGTTTACTGGTAAACTTAGAAAGTTTCCAGTAATATACCCTCTCTTTGTGACCCTAAATCTGTTATGTCTTTTTGTATCTCTGTTATCTCTCTTTCTCCTCCTCTCACTGCGTTGTCTCCTTGTCGCCGTGCAGGTAATGGTGTGCTCACACCCCTCTACAGGTGCTTAATTACTGTGTGTGTGTGTGTGTGTGACAGAGCGAGAGATAAAGATAGAGAGGGATGGAGTGCTCTGGGTGGAAGCTGCATGTTAGTACATGTGACCCTGAAGACGCTCCCCTCAGGAGGATAAAGGACCTCCCTTTTTCCAGGAAGGCGATCAGCTGATGTTCTCCTTAATGAAATGCCATTACGTTGAACCTGTTCTGAAAGGAGAAGCTATGGGCCTGGAGAATTCTGAACTGTTTAGAGGTCAAAACAGGATGGAAACTAGTTGAAAAAGGTGCTTTTCTAAACTAATCAAATACTGTATGTTTTAAAGGCATAGCTCACAATAGTCGCAAAACAGTGTTAGCATCTTATTTGCATAAGTTAGCCAAGTTAAGCATATCCTAATCTTGTTCATCAGACTTCCTCCCAATACTCAGAAGGTCTGGTAGGCCAAAGTTTAAAACATGGCCTTGATTGGGCCAGTGGAAGGTTCTGTAAAAAGTCCAGACGCTAATAGAAAGTCAGGGAGAAAGTCCAGATGCATATCCATTAGCTTACCTCTCACCAATCATCTCCCACAACACCTCCCATGTCTTGTGTATGTCTGTTTATGTTTGCCTTGTCTGCACTCGTCTGATGCAACGTGGAGATTTCATAAAATGTAGCTTGCTGTTTGAGTCCATTCTGTCGTTTTTATTGGGGTTGTTAGTTTTCCCAACAAGTGCGGCACATACTGATCACATATTTGGATGATGTATAACCAGCAAGGCTGCTATTTTACATTAGCTAGCTAGATGGTAGCTAGCTAGAGTTCAGCCTCTCTGGGAAATGTTTTTGCTTTCACCCCACACGTTTCTGATTCGCAGTCGTGTTATTCACTAAGTTCAAACAATGACAAAAACTTAAGTTCACTCCCACAAAGGCCAATTTTTTATTCATTGGTGTTCCAGGCTCATATGCACAATTAGCCCGGGGACAAGGTTAGTCACATCATTGCTATTCCATGAGGAGAACTTTGTGTGACTCTTTGTGAACTACCTGTGATTTATTGCACGTTTTTTTTAGCATAAGTAAGCCACGTTGCAATTGACACATACGACAGCCATGCCTCTCCTTCCCTTTGGAATAATTGCTAGGTCATCAAATACAACACTTCTGGACTTTTGACTTTGAAGAGTTGGAAGAAGAAGCAACTCATCTAATGTTTAGGCTTCTTGGCTAGACAAAACCTATTCAATTATTGAACTTGTTTGAAGTGGTTTAGCCTCGAGTGTAGCCTAATACATTTCCTTGGCAGACAAGAAAGGTGTTATTTGGAACATACTGTAGTTACCACATTTTGAGAGCACAGTTCTACTGTAAATGACAACCACTATCCAAAAAACACTAACATTGTAAGTGACATTGTAAATACTGTATATTACTCATTTTTAGTATATTGCTGATTTGAACAGTGAAAGTGTGCCCAATAGCATTCACAAAGCCTCAGTTCAGACTACTTTCCATAGGTAAGATGCAGTTTCTATGGCCAAGATTGGATCACCACTAGTGTTGCAAAGTGACTCTAACAAGCTGACGGCTGTTGGCTGAAACATGTATATTTCTTGTGAAAAGTGTATTTTCAACAGCTTCTGCCACAGTGCACGTTAGCATTGAATCTGGGTCACCTTTATTTGGACTGCCAGAACTCTGTACTCTCTACTGCTGAGGACATTTTAACCTGAGTCAGTCAGCCGTCCCTGATACAGCCTGAGGAGAAGTATACTGAGTAAAGTCAAAACAAAACTAGATATAAACTCTCTCTCTCTCTCTCTCTCTCTCTCTCTCTCTCTCTCTCTCTCTCTCTCTCTCTCTCTCTCTCTCTCTCTCTCTCTCTCTCTCTCTCTCTCTCTCTCTCTCTCTCTCTCTCTCTCTCTCTCTCTCTCTCTCTCTGCCACTCAGGCAGGGTCACTGTACTCTGTATGAATACCTTTGTCGAGTCATTGGGTTGCTCTCCCTCCCGGGAGTGATTTAATGTCTCAAAGCCATACTCCTCAGTTTGTGCCTCCCTAATTACAGAGTTAGTGGAGCGAGACACACACACGCTCACACAGTGCCCCCGGCAGGTAGTTCACCTCCCCTGAGAAGGCAGGCAGAAAGTCCTTACTCAGCAAGAAAACCAGGCTAAAAGTGCTTCCATACTATTCTGTGCTCGCTTCCCGCGATGTTCCGCTCCTTAGTCAACAATTCGTCACCAGTGTTCTATAAGAATAACAACATTCAGCTGAGATATAAACAGAGTTTATGGGTTTCAAAAAGTGATTGGGAAATGAGTGTAAGAACATCAGAATGGAGATATTGTGGAATATTGAACCCTCCTAAACTGCATTGTTGGGCCAATTCAGCCTCGTTTTAGTAAGCCGAGCGATGCTGCAAAAGGCTAGTTTGAAAGACAGTGTAACTGGGCCAGCATAACACAGTGTAACTGGGACAGCATGACACAGCTTGACCATGTGGTAATACAGATTAGGCATGACCAAAGATGGTAAAATGTCAAGTGGAGCAAACATAGACTGCCACTTCATCCACCATAATTGATTTATGTAGTGGTCCTCTGTAGCTCAGCTGGTAGAGCACGGCGCTTGTAACGCCAAGGTAGTGGGTTCGATCCCCGGGACCACCCGTACACAAAAATGTATGCACGCATGACTGTAAGTCGCTTTGGATAAAAGCGTCTGCTAAATGGGATATTATGTACAGATGGAAGTAAAAAATAGGCAGGATGGTTCGATCTCACGCAGGCAGAGGCTTGTATATGGGCAGAGGGCTGTGACTTCAACAGCACAACCGAGCTTAGGCACCATTATTTACAACCTGTAGTAGCACACACTGTTGCAGATGAGACTATAGTCCACTTCTGACACTTACTGCCCAGCAGGAGAAGTGACATCAGGGTGTGAGACACATACCAGCAGGACGGTGCCCATGTTCACCTTTGTCTTCTGAAGAACACATTGTTTACAGAAACCTGTCATTGGAAACACAGTGCTTTAATAGCTCCTTTGTGATTAAAGGAGAGCATAGACCTGTGAGTGAGTGTGTGTGTGTGTGTGTGTGAACTCATTCACATCATCCATTGTTTTAGGGCACAGATCCAGTTTTGCTTGACTTAAGGGCATGAATAGGAGCTAAGAAAACAGATTATGTGTTCTGCAAACCTGAGAGCCTATACAGGAAAACATTTATTCAGCAGTCACCTTCCTTGTTTGGAACGAGTTCCCGGTGCATATAAACTTGTTATGTGCAGATGTCCTTGCTTTGTATTCTTTGCATATACAGTGCCTTCAGAAAATATTCATATCCCTTGATTTATTCCACATTTTGTTGTGTTACAATCTTAATTCAAAATTGATTAAATAGATTTTTTTTCCTCACCCCATCTACAAACAATACCCCATAATGACAAAGTGAAAACATATTTTTTTAAATGTTTCCAAATTTATTGAAAATGAAATACAGAACTCTCATTTAGATAAGTATTCACAACCCTGAGTCAATAATTTTATAAGCACCTTTTGCAGCGATTGCAGCTGTGAGTCTTTCTGGGTAAGTCTCTAAGAGCTTTCCACACCTGAATTGTGTAACATTTGCCCATTATTCTTTTCAACATCCTTCAAGCTCTGTCAAATTGGTTGTTGATCATTGCCAGACAACCATTTTCAGGTCTTGCCATAGATTTTCAAGTAGATTTAAGTCAAAACTGTAACTCGGCCACTCAGGAACATTCACGGTCTTCTTGGTAAGACACTCCAGTGTAGCCTTGTGTTTTAGGTTATTGTCCTGCTGAAAGGTGAATTAATCTCCCAGTGTCTGGTAGAAAGCAGACTGAACCAGGTTTTCCTCTAGGATTTTGCTGTGCTTAGCTCCATTCCGTTTATTTTTTATCCCGAAAAATTCCCCAGTCCTTAACAATTACATGCATACCCATAACATGATGCAGCCACCACTATGCTTGCAAATATGGAGAGTGGTACTCAGTAATGTGTTGTATTGGATTTACCCCAAACATAACACTTTGTATTCAGGACAAAAAGTTCATTGCTTTGCCAAATGTTTTGCAGTATTACTTTAGTGCCTTGTTGCAAACAGGATGCATGTTTTGGAATATTTTTTTGTCTGTACAGGCGTCCTTCTTTTCACTCTGTCAGTTAGGTTAATATTGTGGAGTAACTACAATGTTGTTGATCCATCCTCAGTTTTCTCCTACCACAGCCCTTAAACTCTGTAACTGTTTTAAAGTCACCATTGGCCTATGGTCCTGACATCCCTGAGCGGTTTCCTTCCTCTCCGGTAACTGAGTTAGGAAGGACGCCTGTATCTTTGTAGTGACTGGGTGTATTGATACACCATCCAAAGTGTAATTAACCTATTAAGGATAGGACATTCCTGGGAGTGTGTAAACATACATTTTGTATTACCATATCATTTTTTGTATGTCCTCTATAGTTATGTACTTGAAAATGTATCAATTGACCAATTCGGCACATTTGGGCAGACTTGATACAAAATAGTCCAGTATTGCGTTATTGTGTTATTGACTGTACGTTTTGTTTATTTCATATGTAACTCTGTGTTGTTGTTGTTTTTATCGCACTGCTTTGCTTTATCTTGGCCAGGTTGCAGTTGTAAATGAGAACTTGTTCTCAACTGGCTTACCTGGTTAAATAAAGGTGAAATAAAATAAATAAATAAAAATTGCTATGCTTCACTGGATCAATCTGAAACGTTGCACACACACTGCTTCCATCTAGTGGCCAAAATCTAAATTGCGCCTAAACTGCAATATTATATTGTGGCCTTTCTCTTGCATTTCAAAGATGGAACAAAAAGAAAATGAGAAAAAACATGGTTTTTATTTATATTCTATTTTACCAGATCTAATGTGTTATATTCTCTTACATTAATTTCACATTTCCACAAACTTCAAAGTGTTTCCTTTCAAATGGTATGAATGAATATGCATATCCTTGCTTCAGGTCCTGAGCTACAGGCAGTTAGATTTGGGTATGTCATTTTAGGCAAAAATTGAAAAAAGGGGTCCGATCCATAAAAGGTTAAACACTATTATTGCACACAGAGTGAGTCCATGCAAGTTATTATGTGACTTGTTAAGCAAATGTTTACTCCTGAACTTAATTAGGCTTGGCACAACAAAGGGGTTGAATATTTATTGACTCAAGACATTTCAGCTTTTCATTTTTTATTAAAAGGTAACATTTTCTAAAACCATAATTCCACTTTGACATTATGGGGTATTGTGTGACAATAAAAATCGCAATTTTATCCATTTTAAATTCAGGATGTAACAACAAAATTACAAGGGGCGTGAATACTTTCTGAAGGCACTGAACTAAGCCTTTTTGTGTGTGCGATCTATAGTGGCGCTGCAGGGCACTGAGGGCCCCCCTCAGAAGAAGCCGACCAAAGATGGCAGGCCCTGGATGTGGTCCAAAGAGCTGGCCATGAGGCAGGCCCAGAACGAGCTCAAGACCAAGATGAAGACCAACAACTGTCCCGAGGAACCTAGGACCCTGCGGCCCACGCAGGTCAGGAAAAACCATTACAATAAGAAAGAAAATAAGTCTTTGTTCACATCTGCTATTCGAGAGATACAGTTCAGAAACTTATTGAGCATTAGTATTATGGAACTACATAGTTTAGCTTTAATGGTTGGATTTTGGTAGGGTTAACTGATTCTAGAACTGTGCTATAGGAGCCTCCCTAAACATACTGCTGTGTAAGTTGATCACAGTTCAGAAAGTGTTATTTGTAAATTCACTATCTGCATGTCAGGGGTGCTGAAGGTGGGTGTGGTGCAGGAATCAAGCGCAGGACGCAGAAGCTAAGTCCAAAAGACTTTAGTGAGTTATTCACGTAGTACACGAGAACAATAAGCCCGGAGGCGAAATAAAGGCGCACACAGGCGTCAAACAAAAGGCGCACTAACATGTGCGAAAACCTCTCCAAACAACGGAGGGAAGATACGTAGCTCAGAACACCAAACAGAGGAGCAATCACACACAACACCAAACAGACACAACGAGAACTAAATAGGACACTAATGAGGACTAACTAGACACAGGTGTACAACATCAAGACAAAACCAAACGAACATGAAACATAGATCGGTGGCAGCTAGTACTCCGGGGACGACGACCGCCGAAACCTGCCCGAACAAGGAGGAGGAGCAGCCTCGGCCGAAACCGTGACACTGCAATTGATTGAATACTGGCCTTAATGCAGGGGTCACGGGTGACCCTGGTTGGCATGGTATTTGGTACGGCGGTGCCCTCGTCTGGACACGCGTGCGCGCTCACACAGGTTGTTATTTATTCACATGAATTGTTCTGATTCATTTGTCCCTATTTCTTTTAATACTGCAATTGATATAACTGTTGTGAAATACAGTCAAATATTGGCAGTATTTTGACCATCAATCAATTTCTATTCCAAAGTAGAAATACCAGAGCCAAGTTGTGGGTTGCAGAGGGACAACTTAACTGAAGCTTCACTATTTCTACAGCATGGGGTTTGCTGGAATGGTTAAGATGGGTTTTCTGTTTCCGTGAGTTTACAGTATGAGGTAGATAGTGAGATCATTGTTTCCTCCAACTAGAGATTAGAAGACTTGCTAAATTTAGTCTGATTTTTCTACATCCTTCTTCCCTCAACAGAATGTGTGAATACTTTGCATCCATATGGTATTGTAAGATCCAGATAGGATCCCTGGCAGGCCATGCGCCACTCTCCTCCCAGGCCAAGCCGTCACACTTTGACCCACTGTGATGCCTGTCAGATACACTACTGTACAATATAGAATAGGTCAGCAAACCTTCAGCCATCAGCTCTGTTACTCTGGGCACCTGTCATACAAACCCCTTAGCCATCAGCTCTGTTACTCTGGGCACCTGTCATACAAACCCCTTAGCCATCAGCTCTGTTACTCTGGGCACCTGTCATACAAACCCCTTAGCCATCAGCTATGTTACTCTGGGCACCTGTCATACAAACCCCTTAGCCATCAGCTCTGTTACACTGGGCACCTGTCATACAAACCCCTTAGCCATCAGCTCTGTTACACTGGGCACCTGTCATACAATGCAATCATTTATTTACTGGATGGTGCTGACTTGAATGTCTGTAAATTCAACAGACCGGGAGACAACTTGCTGCCATAACATACCATAATATGCTACAGTAGGCCTGCCTGGTGCTGGTCCATTTCTGAACTGTTGTATTTGGTTGGTGCTTTTCAGAGCCCTTGTCAACAGGAGCTGGACAAGGTGCTGGAGGAGATCTCCAAGATGAGCTTCCATGACAACAGGGGACCAGTTGAGAATCTGTACCAACTCAAATTCCCCAACTGTGACAGGATGGGCCAGTACAATCTCAAACAGGTGAGTCTCAAATCATTGATATGGATAATGCAATATATCCTTATTAACTCAACTCAAACTGGTAAAGGGGTCAACTGAATATGGTTGAAGCAAAACAATGTTGTGGTGATAAAAAATTAATAATCCACACGCACACATATGCCAGTGCACACACACACACCCACACACACACGGTAGAGGCCCAGCAGAAAAGTATGCCCCCATACCCCCCGCCCTCACACATGCCCGAGAATGGGGTGATGTTTTCAACAGAGTTACAAGGTAATGCAACTGTTTGCAGACAGACTGTAGTCAGGCATTGGAAAGATGTACACACTACACCAGTCACCAGTCAAAACAATCATTACCAATGAGAATTTTCTCAGTGTCCTCTGCAAGCTTGTCTTTGTTGCTGGAAGGATCCAATTATTTTTAGAATGTGGTCAAAACGATGATATGACATATTTGTATTCTGAACATACAGCATCTAGGCATCTGTCTGAAGTTAAATGAGGACAGGGAAGCGAGAGAGAGAGAGAGAGAGAGAGAGAGAGAGAGAGAGAGAGAGAGAGAGAGAGAGAGAGAGAGAGAGAGAGAGAGAGAGAGAGAGAGAGAGAGAGAGACAGACAGAGAGAGAGAGACAGACAGAGAGAGAGAGACAGAGATAGAGAGAGAGAGAGAGAGAGAGAGAGAGAGAGAGAGAGAGAGAGAGACAGACAGACAGACAGAGAGAGAGAGAGAGACAGAGAGACAGACAGAGAGAGACAGAGAGAGAGAGACAGACAGATAGAGCAAGACAGAGAGAGACAGAGACAGAGACAGAGACAGAGACAGAGACAGAGACAGAGACAGAGAGAGAGAGGCAAAAGAGGGCATTGTTTTGATGACAAAACCCCTCGGTTCCCAGGGCTCAAAAAACAGTTTACCTCCAACAACACTTAATCGGTAATTATCTTGTTCCTCTCGTAAATACTGTAACTGTCACTTTTGGTTATTTCTCTCTCCTCCCCTATGGCCCTATCCCCCGGGTCCTGTCCCACGCAGTAAAATTATGACCTCATTCTCGGAGTAGAGGGGGGGGGGGGGGGGGGGGGGGGGTCTCCACAGGGGGTCAGATGGGGGATGGTGGGGCGGGGGAGGGATGGTGGACAGAGGGGGATGGGGGGGCATGACCTGAGGATGGGCTGTTATTGGGGGGCAGAGCCCCACCCATCCATCTCACCTCATCTCGGCCAATCCAAATGCCCTCCTGTTACGTCGCACCAACCCGCCCCCGAAAACGCCCCGTCTGACTGTATCCAGTGCCTCATTAAACCCCCACCTTTTTCTCTCTTTTTTCTCCTTGTGTGTTCCAGTGCCACATGTCCACCCACGGTCAGCGGGGCGAGTGCTGGTGCGTTAACCCCTTCACGGGTGTCCAGATCGCCCAGTCTACCAAGGTGCGGGGGGACCCCAACTGCAGCCAGTATGTGGAGGAGCAGGAGACGGAGACTGGGACACAGCCCACTGCCGTCCTGCAGATGGCAGAGATATAACAGCCCTTCACACACACCCAGATACCCCCCCGCAGTGGAACGGTCCAAATTGACTGACAGCCGACATTGTTGTCATGTGCATGGGTCACTTTCAATGTAGCTCTTACGTTCCCGTCAAGAAAACCTAAAATGTCGCTCAAACAGAAGGCGGAACTAACAAAGAGTCACTGACAACAACCAAAACAAAACAGGTGGGGTTTTAGGAGGGGTTCTGGAAGACACTCATGGGGGTGTCCACTGAAAGTTGACCACTAAGATGCAAACAAAAGAAAAACTCACATCAAACTTACAGACAGGAAGCAAAACAAAAAGTTAAGCAAAACAAAAACAGGGAAGATCAGACAAAGGAATTTTTTAGAAATCAAATAGGGAGCACCAACTAAAGATGTTGATCCTCCACATCTCTCAAGACAGCTGGAGCACTGGGCCAGACACTGTTAAATAGCACCTGGTCCAGCAGAGGTGAAACACTTTCCCACTAACGAGATGGCAACCAGCACAGGTGTAACCCATACTGACTAACGAGGTGACACCAATCTGTGCGCCCTACATGCTAACGTGCTATACGTGCTAAAGTCCAACCTCAAAACATAAATGAAAAAGAATAAACCTGTAACACCTTCCCCCTTAAGACAACAAATGTATCCTATATTTTTGTTGGACAAGTTTGCTCACCACCAACAGAAAACAACTTTAATTTCACAACATAATCAACTTAAATGCATCGCTACTTAAATGCGTCGCCTTCTCCAGTATAAACATGGTGTCTACTGGGTGTCAACAATTAAGACAAAACAGCCACCTCTTTTATGTACTTTTTTATTTTTTATTTCTTTTTATAATTGCCCTCTTTGCTTTGGGCAAAGGACCAACACAGTCCACCAGAACCCTGCTGAAATGTTTATGAAAAGCAGCAATAGGCTGCAAAGGTGCAACCGGTACAGCTTGGTTCGGATTACCCGTAATCTGGCAAACGCGACAGGATTTACAGTAAACCACAACATCCTGTTTCAGAACAGGACAGAAGAAATTATGCAAGATATGGTCATACGTCTTGTTGACCCCAAGATGGCCTGCCACACTACCATCGTGAGCCAACCTCAGTATCTCTTGTCGAAGCGCAACTGGAACGACAACTTGAGACACACTGGGCCAAATCGTCATGCCCAGAAGTGGTGCGAGAACGGCATTTCCTCATTAGACCACCATCTCCGTCAAAGTAACCCATATGAACTTCATCAAACTCCTCCTCTGGATGTAGCTCAGCAAGAAGAGGGGAGAGGGAATCATCTTAACTCTGTTCAGCATTCAAATGATTCCTAGACATCAAAGTATCAACTGTAGGGAGCTCTCTTCCTTCAGTGCTCCTACAAAACTCGCTCACCTTTGGGGTTTTCAAAGACAGATGGACCATGGTGGGATCGCTGACATCCTCCTCAACGCTAGACTTGCTCCTGGCGACTTTCTTAGACATAGCGTAACGGCTCACTATGGGAACACTCAAGGGTACTTTTCTGATAACCCATCAGGTTCCTTACAAACGACAGGATTTGGCACGACCTTCCCTCCAGCCAAATCGTTTCCCAAAATTAATGAGACCCCCTTCACCGGTAGACTAGGCCTCACTCCAATGACAACAGAACCAGAAATAAGACCAGACTCGAGTTCCACATTGTACAAATGAACTTCCGTGCAACCCATCTCCACGCCTTCTACTAACACACTGCAACCTGTTGCTGAAGTGTCAGACAAAGGCAAAACACCCTCCAAAATGAAGGACTGGGCCGCCCCAGTGTCTCGCAGTATTTTCACCGGCTGCTTAAAAGCATTGCCACTCTGCAGAGACACGAACGTGTCTGAAACAAAAGGTTCATACACACCTGATCCAAAATTTTGTTTAGGAGATACACCAGTCCCAACCAGAGACTTAATGGGCTGGAGTGCTCCCACAAGAAGAAACAGCTTTTTTTCTCTCTCTAATTTTTCTGTTTCAACTTAGGACACTGAGACAAAGTGTCCTTTCTAACAGCAGTAATGACAAACTGGTGGATATGAAAAAACTGTTTTCTGCTGATCTTTATCTTTGGGGACTCTAGAAAAGGACGAAAATCTTACAGTAGGAGGTAACATCTCTGGATTTCTTTTTGCATAGGGATAACCACTGGGTGCTTTGTTTGTGAAGGTAGTTTTATGTGTCAACACAAACTCATCTGCAAGAACTGCAGCTTACTCAATAGTGAGATTATTGTGCTCATAAATGTAGGTAGCAACCCTTTCGTGAAAGCAATTCTTGAACTGCTCGAGAAGTATGAGTGTCTTTAAATCCTGAAGGTCCTTGACCTCTTGAGAACCACAACACCGATCAAAAAGACATCCTTATTCCTTTGCGAACTCAACATGGCTTTGTGATTCTGTCTTTCATAATTTACCGAACTGTTGTCTGTATGCCTCTGGGACCAACTCGTAAGCCCGAAGGATAGCTGCTTTAACAGTGTCATAATCTGAACTCTGCTCGAGAGATAAAGTGGCGTACACTTTCTGAGCTTTTCCCACAAGAACACTATGGAGGAGCAGTGACTAAATATCTGGCGGCCATTTTAGGGATGTGGCAATCCTCTCAAACAGAGTAAAATATACGTCCACCTCCTTTTCATTGAAAGGTGGTACAAGTCGGCTGTTTTGACCAAGATCAAACACTGTTGAGGTTGCAGGATGGCCTGACTGGATTCGGCTTGCTTCCAGCTCCATCTCTTGCTCACCCCACTACCCGTAGCGCCCTTTTCATCAGCCTCTCTCTCAGAGAGGATTTCCCCCTCCACCAAAACAGTACCGATCAACTCTTTGACTACTGCTTTTGGATCACCAGATGCCACTGATGCCATAATGCTTTGCAATGAAGAGCAGATTCGCCTTAGTGTACATTTATGTAGCATCTCCCATGTAGGGTCTTCCACAACTTAAAGTCCATGGCTTTATTATTGTTATGCAACTTTCAAGGTGGATGTCAGTGACAGAAAATCTACCACAAAAGTGTATTTTGAACACTCAGGTGTAACCCATACTGACTAACATCAGTATACAGTTGAAGTCGGAAGTTTACATACACTTAGGTTGGAGTCATTAAAACTCATTTTTTCAACCACTCCACACATTTCTTGTTAACAAACTATAGTTTTGACATGTCGGTTAGGACATCTACTTTGTGCATGACACAAGTAATAATTTTTCCAACAATTGTTTACAGACAGATTATTTCACTTATAATTCACTGTTTCACAATTCCAGTGGGTCAGAGGTTTGCATACACTAAGTTGACTGTGCCTTTAAACAGCTTGGAAATTCCAGAAAATGATGTCATGGCTTTAGAAGCTTCTGATAGGCTAATTGACATCATTTGAGTCAATTGGAGGTGTACCTGTGGATGTATTTCAAGGCCAACCTTCAAACTCAGTCCCTCTTTGCTTGACATCATGGGAAAATCAAAAGAAAAGAATTGTAGACCTCCACAAGTCTGGTTCATCCTTGGGAGCAATTTCCAAATGCCTGAAGGTAACAAGTTCATCTGTACAAACAATAGTACGCAAGTATAAACACCATGGGACCATGCAGCCGTCATACCGTTCAGGAAGGAGACACGTTCTGTCTGCTAGAGATGAACGTACTTTGGTGCAAAAAGTGCAAATCAATCCCAGAACAACAGCAAAGGACCTTGTGAAGATGCTGGAGGAAACAGTTACAAAAGTATCTATATCCACAGTAAAACGAGTCCTATATCGACATAACCTGAAAGGATGCTCAGCAAGGAGGAAGCTGCCATAAAAAAGCCAGACTACGGTTTGCAACTGCACATGGGGACAAAGATCGTACTTTTTTGAGAAATGTCCTCTAGTCTGTTGAAACAAAAATAGAACCATCGTTCTGTTTGGAGGAAAAAGGGGGAGCTTGCAAGCCGAAGAACACCATCCCAACCGTGAAGCACAGGGTTGGCAGCATCATGCTGTGGGGATGCTTTGCTGCAGGAGGAACTGGTGCACTTTACAAAATAGATGGTATCATGAGGAAGGAAAATTATGTGGATATATTGAAGCAACATCTCAAGACATCAGTCAGGAGCTTGGTCGCAAATGGGTCTTCCAAATGGACCATTTTTTTTATTTTTTTACCTTTATTTAACTAGGCAAGTCAGTTAAGAACAAATTCTTATTTACAATGACGGCCTACACCGGCCAAACCCGGAAGACGCTGGGCCAATTGTGCGCTGCCCTATGGGACTCCCAATCACGTCCGGTTGTGATACAGCCTGGAATCAAACAAAGGGGTCTGTAGTGACGCCTCAAGCACTGAGATGCAGTGCCTTAGACCGCTGCGCCACTCTGGAGCCCAAGCATACTTCCAAAGTTGTGGCAAAATGGCTTAAAGACAACAAAGTCAAGGTATTGGAGTGGCCATCACAAAGCCCTGACCTCAATCCTATAGAAAGTTTGTGGGCAGAACTGAAAAAGCGTGTGCGAGCAAGGAGGCCTACAAACTTGACTCAGTTACACAAGCTCTGTCAGGAGGAATGGGCCAAAATTCACCCAACTTATTGTGGCAAGCTTGTGGAAGGCTACCCGAAACGTTTGACCCAAGTTAAACAATTTAAAGGCAATGCTACCAAATACTAATTGAGTGTATGTAAACTTCTGACCCACTGGGAATGTGATGAAAGAAATAAAAGCTGAAATAAATCATTCTCTCTACTATTATTCTGACATTTCACATTCTTAAAATAAAGTGTTGATCCTAACTGACATAAGAAAGGGAATTTTTACTAGGATTAAATGTCAGGAATTGTGAAAAAAATGAGTTTAAATGTATTTGGCAAAGGTGTATGTAAACTTCCGACCTCAACTGTACGTACTAAAGTCCCCCCCCCCCAAAAAAATAAAATAAAAAACTAACAGTAGCTTACATGTTTTTGTTTAAGTGCATGCATAGGTGGGGTGTTGTTGTCTTTATTC